CCAATCATCCATTCATCCATCCATCCACCCACCCAACCACCCAGCCACCCATCCAGCCACCCACCCACCCATCCATCCATCCATCCATCCATCCATCCATCCATCCATCCATCTACCCACCCACCCATCTATCCATGCTTCCTCTAATGCTCTCAGATACACTGTCTTAGGTACTGGGGACCAGTAGCAAATCATGAAGCTCACACTCTGCCCTCCATAACATTTCCTCTGAATTAAAATGGCTGACTTTTAGGTATAAGGTCTAGCCAAGAAGCAGGAAAATGAGGGTGGAGCTGGAGCTGAGAGAGTCCTCTGGGGGATCTGGTTCAGGGATGAGGAGCTGAGAAGCTGTATGAAGGTGTCAGAGGCATCTCTATGTGCTCTGAGTCATGAGTGAGGGTAAGGCAGAGGCTTTCCCCTTGCAGACAAGTTTGCATGAGGGTTCGAGACCTCAGTTTTCTAACCATGTGCAAAAACATGCACCTATGTCTCCTACCACCCCAGAGCTGCTGCTGTCCGGATAACTGGGCTCCAGTGACCCATAACTGAGACGAGGGAGGGGCTACTTGGGAACTCAGTTTCAAAGGCTGCAGTCCGTAGCTGTTTTTAGGGCAGTCTTTGGCAGAGGTCTGTTTACTTCTTGGCGACTAGGGAGCAAAGAGGAAGGGGCTGAATCCCAATGTTCCCTTTAGGGGAACCCCCACCTAGTGACCTCACTTCCTCTTCCAATGCTCCACTTACTAATAGCACCACAGCCTGGAAGCCAAGCCTTCAGCACCCGGGCCTTTAGAAGACATTAGGGATCCAAAGGCTAGCAAGCAGACTCATGCTTGGGTGTGTGTTGGGCGGCCTCTGTCAGAGGCAGCCATGAAGCCAGGGTAGCAGTATGTGGTTGTCGCTTCTTTTCCTTCTAGAACCAAGCAAGGGTCAAGGAGTCTGGGCAGCTATTTTCCTGTTCTGGATGTTCTCAGGCACAGCGAGCAGCACTGTTGGCTCCTTCCTGGCTGTGAAGCCCATTCCCTTGTCCCTTCCTAAGCTCTCTAGGGCCAGCTGAGGCTTGGAGCATGGCTGAGGGCCACCAGGCTAGGGACAGTGTTTGCAGGAGCTTGGGGGCAAAAAAGGGCAGCAGTTGTAAGTCTCTGCCCTGGGCAGTGCTGGGCTCCCCTGGCTGCATAGACAGCTTCATCTGCTTGCCCTGCACACCTTTAAAAAAGTGTTGTAGGAGCCAGGCAGTGGTAACACATGCTTTTAATCCCAGCACTCAGGAGGCAGAGCCAGGCGGATCTCTGCGAATTTGAGGCCAGCCTGGTCTACAGAGCGAGATCCAGGACAGGCACCAAAACTACACGGAGAAACCCTGTCTAGGAAAAAAAAAGTGTTGTAGGGGCCAGAGAGATGGCTCAGTGGGCAGCGAGCTTGCTGTATAACAGTGAAGACCGGAGTTTGGATCCTTGAACCTCCCATAAAGCCAGACACAGGGACATGGGAGGCGGGGACAGGAGAATCCCCCAGAGTTCACACATCAGCCAGCCTGGCATGCACAGCAATAAACAAGAGAACCAGTATCCAACAATGGGGAAGGTGAAGACTGACACGGGGTCATCCTCTGACCTCCGCAAAGCATGCCGTGGCATGCACATGCCTGTTCTCATAATCATATATGCACACAAAGATCTTTGCAAAGTTGGAAACACTGGTCTTTCAATCAACATATTAGCAGAGAGCACCGCTATACTGCTAACAACAAAACAACCACAACAATAACAATAACAATAACAGCCGGGCGGTGGTGGTGCATGCCTTTAATCCCAGAACTTGGGAGGCAGAGCCAGGCGGATCTCTGTGAGTTCGAGGCCAGCCTGGGCTACCAAGTGAGTTCCAGGAAAGGCGCAAAGCTACACAGAGAAA